ATTCCTCCGCGCTCAGATCGATGCGCGCTGCACCGTGAGCATGAGATTTTATTTTACTCAAGCTAACGTGTTCAACTGCGGAGTTCTTGTTTGTAATTTAATAAACAAGGCCTCTAAATATTTTATCCATCGGCCTGTTGGCTCTCCAGAACGCGTTTGTGCATGGAAACTCCGAACCGGTTTTGACCTTTTGAGTCTCATCAGCGGAGACTGGCTTGCCGGATTTGTTCCAGATATCTTCCCCCTCTTTTCCACGATGTGGGATGGGGGGGGGGCACGGAGGGGGCACGGAGGGGGCATGGGAGGGGGGGTCTCTTGGGTTCCGCCGACTGCCCACGCAGTAGCGAGGGACCCACGTGGCATCGCTTGTCCACGCGCCCGTCCAGTCGGACAAGGGGGCACCCGCGCGTGTCAACTGGTCGCCGAGACGGGCGGCTCAGCTGGGCGGGCGCGCCGCTACTCGCGGATCTTCCCGCGTCTTCGTCAAAACCGCTCGGCCGTTCCGCCTCGTCGAGCGGACACGGCCGCCCGCGCCACCGTGACGACGCGGGGGAACGCGGGGACACAGTGACGCGCCACGGCGGATGCGTGCGCGCAGCGAGACGCGCGCGTGCCCAGGTTGGGAGGACGCCACGGGAGAATTCCACTTGGTCGAGCTCCCATCCCTAACTCGCATCTCATCCCCTCACTCCCCACCGATGCATCTGTCACTCACACCTGATCAAATTATTTCCACTTCCTCCTCCTATGGCCCACTCCTCTCTCCCTTCTGCTCATCATCATTGTCACAATCATCATCACCATCAGCAGCATCATCAATCACACACCACTGGATCACATCTTTCACCGTGGATGTGAGCGTCTGTCTCTGCGGTCGTGCAGATGAAGCGGAAGCGAAGCCAAGCGTAGCGGAGTTTCGTATCCTCAGATGTACGAGCTCCACGCTGGGCCCCGAAGGCCGCTGGGCCCCTCAACGTGGCAGCCCCCCTGCTCCCCCTCACTCCCCACCATCGCCTGCGTCTACGTGAATCATCGCGACGGTCTGCGGGACGCTCAAGCGCACGGGATGACCCCGCTAATCAGATTCATCACAGCTCATTGCCCTTCACAGGAATAAATCATTTTAACGAGCGGCGAATGCAAAAATTTTCCAACAAAAATTAAATCTGTCATGGAGACAGCGCGCTCGACTAAACGTAGCACGATATCCATTGCACGTGAGGCTACGTTTAGCGACCGCATTCACGAATCGTTTCACCGAGCGACGTGCGAGGGGGCGAGCGACCACGCGGCGCGGCCCGCGACGTCGGGGAAGAGTTGGTCCGGGGGGTGACCGCGCGGTGCCGCCATTTCTCAACACTGCCGCCACCACCACTGTGCCCAGGCGTTTGTTTTGGTCAACATTGGCGACTCGGTCCGCAGCCGGTGTCTGGCTCGGGGCGTCGTGCTTCCGTGAGCGGTGGGCCACATTCCAGCAGCAGCTGCGTCTCGCAAGGTGGCCACGCCACCCACGCCGCCCCGACCACGCGCCGCCGGCCTCGTTGTCGTCTGCGGCTGCACGGCCTCCGCAGAGGTAGCCGTGGTCATCTTCACTCTCCGCCTCTCATCACCACCACCACCAACAATTGCCCATGGCCACTAACGTGCAACCTGAGGCTACATGAAGTGCCAAAGGCTCGCTGATGAGAGGTCACGGGACAGACCCAGGTGTTATGGGTTGACTGACTGAGATGACTGGCGACCATCACCACTCCTACCACCACCTTCACTACCAACACCACTCTTGCTCTGATCCACCAACACCACCACTGCCGCCTCCACTTTGGCCTCCTCCCCTTGCCTCCCCCCCTCTCTCGGGCCCGTGGCGGCCCCACCCCCCCCCCTCATGATATCACTCTCGGTGTGATTATATTCACCTCTGGGGCAGAGAGGGTAATCGGCACGGCTGGCACGGGCGCCGCAGCCGAGGGAGTGCACCAGCGCGCGAAATTGATCGGTGCAAGAGCGACGGAGGAGAGGAGAGCAGAGTCGCGGCCCCGTGTCAGCGCCACCTCCCTCAACCCCCCCCCCCCCCCCCGGCATCTCGGCGGGAGGGCGACCGCGGCGCTGTCACGCGTCCAGAGTGGGCAGGTGACGACGGTCTTGTGGGGGTTGACGGTCATTTTGTTTATTGTTTTGTTTCGTTGACGCGCCCGTTTCACTTTGCTGTGCGAAGTGAAACGTGCTGGCGGGCGAGGGCGACCACCAACGGAGATGGAGCCGCGAGATCGGCGCACGCGCTGGAGCGAGATGGATCGTGGTTTCGCGAGACCGTGTAATGTGGTGACGATGTGGGGAGGCCTTCTTCCAGCTGTGCATAGACCATGGCCGATGGTAATATTGCTGCTCGTGTTGACGATGATGAAGATTATATATCCGCTGCTGCTGATGATAATGACGAAGAGTCAAAGCGGACATCTTTCACGGCTAAATTCTGCCTACGACGCGTCGCCCCGTGATCGTCCTGCCGGGTGCTGACGAGCCCCGTGGCGTGCTGGGAGCGTCTCGCGGGAGGCGTCTGAATCTGCGACGAAGCCCAGGCGACGACTGCGAGGCCGCGCTGCTGGCGCCGTTTTTTTCAGAATTCCTCGTCGCGCACAACCTCAGCGGCTCTACTCTCCACAAAACGGACGCGAGCGGAACTCCGTCCCGTGTCTCAACATTGAACGCGCACGTATTGTTCGCTCCATCGTGGCCATTGGCTGTGCAGACCAATATTATTCAGCAGCTTTTGTCGAGTCGGGAAAACGTCTGGACCAGTTTGGGCCTTCCGGGTCTCGTCAGCAGAGTGAGGCTTGTTCAACAAAAATGCTGCTGCATTACCGGATGTTACTAGCAAGAGCACTCCGCACAAACCAGTGTATGGGGCCTCGCTGAACGTAAAACGCAACAACTCAAATGAGTTTGTGTTCAACAAGACGGCACGTGGTGTCTCACAGCCCTCTCGGGCAAGGGCGTGTGCAGGATTCTTTGTAAACGTTGTGCTTTGTCAATTGCATTCACGTCACATGTACACTGCACATTTTTGCCAAGGAACCACTTAATCAAGTCACATGTACACTGCAGATTTTTGCCAAAGAACCACTCACTTTCAAAGTGTTATTTATTTATCTAGGTAAGATATTTTTTGTTTGCAGGAGGGCCCTATTTGGTATGTATGTGTGTATGTTGAAGTTTTTTCGCACCGTACGTGGCCAACCGAGCTAATCGGAGGTGCGGGTGAAGGACAGCAAACTAAACACAAAAATCAGCTCTATAGAAATTAGTTTTCAATCGAGATGATTTTAATGTGCATAGCTCCAGTGGCTTCCTAATATCGGCAGTAAGAGCGTTCCAGACGGCCACGATGCGGTGGCCGGCTTTGTTCGATGACTGAGCCAAAAGCCGCTTCGTGGGGATATTTTGGCGGACTCTTCTCCGAGGGACCTGTTATTATCTTCGCGTGGGCAGTACGCCAGAGCGGCCAGACGCGTGCCAGGGGAGAACACTCAATCATCCGCGCCGGTCCGCAAGCCCGACGTCTGTTGGCCGCCTCGCAAGCGCCATCGGTTTGAGAGTTTCACGGCTCTGTGGCGATGTGATCCGTGTAAGCGCCTCTAGACTAGCCCGGTCGGCAACGTATGGTGGGAAAGAAGTTACAAATACATACATGCGTATAACTTGAATCGGCCACCACGAGTCCTACCGCTAGCAACCGAAGTAGGCAAGCAGACCCAAGCGCCACTCCTCAACCTTTCCAAACGAGCCAACCAGATGGGTGGCACTCGCCCGTCGCTAACCCCAACTCCACCTCGCTTCTCTACCCAGATGCAGTATTCACTTTTGTGTTCGCGTTTCACTTTTGTGCTTGCCGCCGCCCCTCCGCCTCTTTTGTTTGCGTCTTCAAGTCGCCGCCAAACGGCGCAGGAAATTGTCTCATTCGTTTTTGCCGTTGCGCCGAGCGAGCCCTCGGTTTTTTTCCGGCACGTGGGGGGAGGGGGGGTTGCGGGGGGGGGAGCTCGTCGGTACAATTCACAGGATGTGTGCTAAAGTCGTCAGGGAGCGAGCGAGAGAGCGAGCGAGAGATTTCTGAAGCGGCCGCTCGCCGCGGTTTTGTGTGCACACGCCGAGCGCGAGATGAAGTCATCGTCGTCCCGAGCGCCGTGAAGAGAAAGCAATCATCCTCGCGCCGCAACCATCACGCGTCCCGGGAGATTCTCGCTGAATCTTTAATCCCGTCGGGGTGACTTGGCAACGGTTGGGTAGCGGGGACGGGGGGGAGAGTCGCTTCCCGCTCTCGCGCGGAGTCATGGAACGCGCGGTCATGCGCCTCGTTTGAAAAAACGCGTTATTTTATGTGCGTGGCATTGGTTGTCCGAGTAAGAGACCGGTTTGTGCTGTGCGGATGTGGCATATCCCCTGTTGATTCATAGAGTGCATACGGACGGCATTTAACAATTTGTGACAAAGTTCAAATGGGAAACTTCCTCCGGGGGCGTGAACGTTGGAGGCGTTTAGGGCAGTGGCTGCTGTCTGCTGCTGCTGTCTGCTGCTGCTGTCTGCTGCTGCTGTCTGCTGCTGTCTGCTGCTGCTGTCTGCTGCTGTCTGCTGCTGCTGCATCGCCGCGTTAATGCTCACGGCAGTGAATGTGTAGCGGTTAGCGCTACGCTGCGCTATGAACTTGGCGATCCGAATTCGATTCCCGCTCACGGCCAACACCAGTGACGATTATCTGAACCGGTCCTGGGCCTCTCCTAAGTCGACTCAGCCTAAAATGAGTACCTGCGCGGTGTGTAAACATCGCTACTGGGGAGACAAAGGCGGTCGGGCGTGGCGCTGGCCACCCACCCCCTCGTGTACCGTTCCGACCTTCATAGGTGTTCGCTAACAGCACTTGCCCCTACAGTCTGTTAAGGCTATATGGGGGATCTTTGTCTTTATCTTTGTTGTGCGCGCGTGTGTGTGCGTGTGTGCGGACACAGGAGCAGCAAGGGGTTCATGCACATGAAGCTGTCGCGAACCAAAGAGAGCAAGTACATCCTGGGCCAGAACAGCCTGCCCTTTGACACCGTGCCAGAGGTCATCCACCACTACACGAACCGCAAGCTGCCCATCAAGGGTGCCGAGCACCTGTCCCTGCTCTACCCGGTCGCCGTGCGCACGCTCTGAGCCCCGGCGGCGCCGCTCCACATCGACGATCACGGCGCACGGGGACCTCCACCACCCACCCAGGGGAGGGTCAGGGGGAGCGAGCGAGAGACGAACAACCCAGGGGCTGGGTTTTGGGGCGAGTGGAGAGCGAGCGAGTGGTGGTCTCGAGCCCGGTGCACGCACAAAGATGTGTATACGGGGCGATGCCCTCGCAGGGTCGCTCCTTCCCACCGGAGAATTCCCCTCGCGTCGTCGCTCGATTACGGAGCCATGTGGCCGAACTTCCCAATGTCACTTCCCGTGAAGTCACTTCCTGGTGGAATGAGCGAACCACGGGGGCCCTGGCCCCGCTCACCGTTGACTCCGCACGCAATACAAAATAATAACATGGGGTTTGGTGTTTCACTTCATTAGGTCACATTCCAGCACAGGGCGTCGATCTCATAGCAGCATGTGTGGAATGTCCACCGCCTGTTATCTAAGGGTCAGCAGCTGTCCTGCGACACGTGAGATTTCCAAATGGATTCTTCGTCTCATTGCACCGTGCCAATAATGTCCTGGGAATTAAACTGGGGTGGGGGGGGGGGGACTAACGAAAAGAACGTCGGTGAGCACACGGCCGGGAGCGCGGCGTCAATCCCAGACTCGACGTCGCAGCGCCGTCGTCGCTAGCCGCCACAACTTGGCGGCGGCGTCTTTTTTCGCGCTCTCGTCGGCCGAACCCGGCGGACTTCGCCGATGCCGAGGAGCGCCCCGGCGTCTCCCCGTGACGGCGCAGGAGGCGCTCCGAGCGCGGCGCCTCACGCCGAGGCTCGGGTTGCCGCCTCTGCGGGGGTTCAAAAGAAAAAGCGGGGACATATCACGGGAAGAAGAATATCTCGCACCGCCGGAGGAGGGTTGAGCACCACGTGTACGTGCGTTGTGTGTTGAATGAGTGGCGTATCCGTATTATTGTTACACAACTGACACACCAGCCGGGAATGTTCACGTTGGTGAAGACTCGCAGGCTTTCCCAGGATAGCGCAGGACCGTGCGTCGGTGCGCGCGGCGTTAACGAAACCCGACTCGACCGTTTTTTTGTTCCTTTTCAAAGCTCTCCCGAAATTAACGACAGTTCGGTATTTTTGTAAACTCGTGAACAAACAAAAAAAGTGCGGTCGTTTTTGAGACGTTCTGCGTGCGTCTCTGCGTGACGGCCAGCACGTTGGGTCGAGCGAGTGCCTCCACTTGAACGTGTCGGGGAGAAGGGAAGGTCCGCGCTGCTTCATCCGTCACGCGGCACAGGGAGCGGAACGAACGCGGCCGCCTGCGGGGCGGCCCGAGCGTATCGGGCACTGCAACTGGGGGGGGGGGGTGGTGGGGGAGACTCCGAGCCGTGTCTGGGATGGGCCTGAGCGATCCGATGAGTAGCTGTAGCCTTAACCCCGACCGGACCGCGGCGTTTTGACAGCGCCTCGCTTTCATTCGCTACTCCGCAAAAGGAAAAAAAACGACGACGCCGCGGTGCGCGTTCACGCCGACGACATTTCTTGCCAAACTGTTCCCAGATGTGGTGACGAGCTCGTTGCTGCCGTGGGGTGGCGTGGGGGGAGGGGGGAGAGTGGAAGTGACCTGCCAGGCCACCGACCGGGCTCGCTAGCCGCAACCCCCCCCCACCGGCCCCCCTCCTCACCCCGGCGATGACGGAGCGCTTCCACGTTGCCTTTAAGCGCTCACTTCACCTCTCCCACGCACACCGCGCTCGCCGCGAGCGCCTCTCTGGAGTGGCGCCTTCGCATCAGGAGCCGCACTCGCCAAACAGATCCGAGCCCCTGTGGCTCTGCGTCCCAGCTCACCCAGACCCACACCAGTGCCCGGCATCCTTATAGGTTCTGGTCAAGACTGGCAACAGAATACTTTCAATTAGCTTTCACACATATATATTAGAACGCAGCTGTGTGCCGCGTACCGCTGCGATGTGTGCACGCGCTCGAGCGCGAGTGCGTGGGTGGGCGTTACGATACAAGGCCGCGGGCGTTATAACGCGTTCTCGCCTAAGCGAATAGAGGCTCCCTAATTGGACTGGCTTGCCAGCTTGTGTTTTTTTTTTTATAATTGTCTTTGATTTGTGTTGTTGTTGTTGTTGTTGCTTTATTGGGCTGTGCCAATCGTGTATGCTGGTCATTCATACGCAGCACCTCGTGTCGCGGCGGGAGGTTGCTTTATTTATACGGAACGCGAGGGGTGGGCGGAGGGGTCGGGTCGAGGGAGGCACCATCTCTCCCGTCCGCGTTGCTCGAAACTCCCACGTTAATGGAAAGCCAATTTTACTACAACTCAAGGGACCCAGTTGGCGCCACCGATGCATTTCGAGACGGAAAATAATTCGGCATCATCGTGATGATCATCATCGATCATCGTCAGACACCATTAACAAAATAAGGATCAATATATCCATGATGGTAACGATGACGATGCTGGATGTTTCTTGTTGTAATTTTGCTGCGCCCTACGTGTCCGTCGTGTGTGGTGGCAGTGAACGGCTGGGCCCTCTGCCCGGTTGGGCCACACGTTCTCATCTTGGCGAACTTTCACCTTTTTCTTCACCAGATTTTATTTCGGCGAGTACTCGGCAACAGCTGCATCGCCGACAAAGCAGCAAATCGCCAAGGCGATGCCACGTGCGTGTGTCAACATCTCAACCCAGGCCCTTAAGTGACCATTTTATTTAATTTTCGTCTTCCCGTGCCACTTTAAATGACAAACTAAAGTGGAATCCACTTAAAAGTGTTTTATGCAGCCACCCAGAGAGCCCTCGGCTCCACGGGGGTCCTCTCCATCAACACGTGGCATCAGTGGCAGCAGAGACAAATGCCGTCTCTCAGAAATAAATAAATATATTTCAGGGGGGGGGGGCGTAACAGACCTGTGTTGGCATCTGCTAGATTCTCGCTCCATCGTATTTGCAGTTCAGAGCCAGCCTCGGCGGAGAGGGTAATGTGTTGACCTTCTGAGCGTGCAGTGCCGCTGTGAGATGTGAAATAAAATGGAATGTTAAATAATTCAGTATTGACTCGTGGCTCCCAGGTTGGGCAGGCCACCAACTCTGCCCCGGGTTTTCTAGTCTCGGGTTATAACGCGTTCTGCTGGATTAGTTGAGTCATTGCAATGTACTGACAGTGCCAGAGACCCATAGACTTGCATAGAGACCCATAGACTCACGCGGAGACCCATAGAGCTGGAATGCGCTGGTAGTGCCTTCACCGCCAACGGATGCATACAGCCCATACAGCTACTGAGAGCCCAGTACTGGTCCATTGATTATCATTGCGATCATCGTCATCATCTCACGGCGCTATCTTCAAGTTACTGTTTGCCAGCTCGTCCAATTGCACGAATGAGCTGAGACGGGGCCTTTCTCTCCTCAACCTGGAGGTCGGGGCTGCCACTGCTCGCATCGATGTCCTCTCCCTGACCTCGCCCACTTCCGCTGGCTCTCGTACGGGGGCCCGCATCGATGTCGCTAGCTACTTTTGCTGGACAAAAAAAAGTAAATGAAATAACCAATTATGTAAGAGTTTTTAAAGAAAGGGCATAATTTAATGTTATATTTACGAGGAAGATTGTGACGTGTTTTATCACCACTGCATAGGTCCTTGCGGTTTGTGCCGTGCAGCTCTCAGATGCATTTTCGGGTCGTTGCGCGGTGTTGTTCGGCACGATGTCCGGCGTTTCGCTCCACGTGTTGGGAGCTTTTTCAGTTCCTGATGTCCGGCATTTCGCCGCTTGTGCCGTGGAGCGAAACGTCGGACCTCGCGCCGGATAGCGCGCGGTGCATCCCGCCAACGCGCCGGAGAGCAAACCGCCTTTGATTGTTTCAAAAGGTAACCCTGCGAGCATGGAGGCGAGTGGGGAGACGCGTGGGACGTGCTGCGACCCACGTGGTGCGCGCCAGGGGTCCCACCCTTCCTGCTTGTGCCAGGGTCCGCGCCTCCGTTCGTTTAAAACAAAAACAAAAAAACGCGTTGGGTCGGGTCGCGTTCCCAAGCCTCTTCCTGCCTCGCAGTGGGACAATGGAGTGGCTATGCCGAGCGGCAGCCCGGCCCGTCTGGCCAGGGGCAGGATGTGTTCCATCTCCACCGTGCTTCGTCATCTCCACCGTGTTCCATCTCCACCGTTGAACAAAAGCCTCCCGGCACTCCCCCACTCGGGTGCGGGGGAGATGTCCATCGAAGCCAACAATGGGGTGGTGTTGAGGCGGCGGCTGTGTTGGGTGAGTGGGGCGAGTGGGCTGAGAGGTTTGGCAGCATTCGTTGACGTGCCAAAGAGAACATGACTCACTCGTTTTATTTTAGTCTGCCCGACCCCCACGGCCGCCCGCTCACGTGAACTATAGCTACGTCTGGGACCCGTCGCGGGAATGTGGAATTGCCCACCCACCACCGGCCGAGGATTCCCAATCGACACGAATTCCACGGCACGATGGGGGTGCAGGGCTCTGAATCAGTCCAGCGTCTGCGGCTCGCCGGTAACGACCGGCGCTGTAGCGCTGATGGTGTCGTTAATGAAACGTGCGGGCCCGTGCTCCTGTGGCACAGGGAAGCCGCTTGGGGTGCGCTCCTTTCCTCGGGATCCCTGCGACTGAAGCGCCCCCTGCAGCCGGCAAGCGGTGCGGGGCGACTCCGCACCTAACGACGTTTCGTGTAACATGAAATAATTACCATTTGTTTGTCGACGGGCACACATCATGGATAGTGGGTGGGTGGATGTTCGCCGCACATAACGGGCTGTTGTCGGCTGTGGGAATGATGTGATGGGCCGCAACTGGCAGTGGAGCAACATCTATCGCTGTTGTAGTTTGTCGTGGGGAGGTCCTCATCCAGCAGTGGATTGACAAAAAGGGCTGCACGTGTACATTGTGAGTCTCGAGACGCTTACAGGAGAGTCCTGCGATGGGCTGATCGGCCACTTTCCTCTCCAAGGAGATATTCGCTTCGTTGTGGGAGGAGACCGCAGAAGCTGGAGAGACTCCACGAGTCGTACGAAGATTAAAAATACGCGGTTCGCCCGGAAGGGAGGCACGCACCCACTTGCTGCACCGCTGCCATCTCCTGACCACCACCTCGCGGCCCAGCGGCTGTGTGGGAAGTTTTCACAAATCTCTGGGTAACCCACCAACCCCCTGCCGCCAAAGCGTCGGATCAAGAGCGCTCGGCGCTGCTCACGGACACTGCGCTCCGAGTCATCGGTGAAGACTCCGTCACGCGCAGCGCCACGCGCGCGCACGCCTGAGAGCTGCCGGGAGAGCTGCTTGCGTCACAACATCAAAGGGGACGCGAAGTTTGAGAGAAGAAGGCGGCTCTTGTCTTGTAGCCACGCGCTTTTGTGTCCCGGGCTGTACCGCACGCGTCTGAGGCCGCCGCGCCGAGTGAGAGGGGATATGATGTGAAGTTCAACACAACTTGGGGTCAGACTCGCCATTGTTTATAACGTCACCGAGACGTCGCTGCCACACAATTGTGATGGACAGTCGCTCCAATGCGGTGATGTAAAACAAAACTTTACAAATTCGTGAATGACACCGCGGCCTTCAAAGGATAATTATAAAATCGGCGACGTTTCGGGCAATGGCCCTTCGTCATGGCACACGAGTGATGTCACTGGAGCGCTGCAGCGTTGCGCTTGACCGTGACCTCCCAGTGTGTGCCCGTGGGTTTTTTGTTCACAACGAATTTTCAACCTCGTATGGGACACCCAGGGACACGCAGGCGCGATGTGCAGCTACAAGAGCTGTGTGCCGAGCTCACGTCTCACGCTCACGTCGCCGTGACGAGGTCAGACGAGGAGAGCGCTACTACCATGGCCGTGTGGCTTCAAGAGCCAGCACTTAAATCAGTGCCACCCAAAGGTTAACTTCGTGACGCCGGTTTCTTTAAATTGCCAATAAAGGTGAAATGTGGATGTAGTGGTGGCGCAGTGGATTGCTGACTGCGTAATGAACCAGGTTTTCCGAGCTCCATACGCGGCCACGGCTGATCGCAGTAATATCGGTGACGAGAGATATTTGAACCAGTTCTGTGCAGCCCCCTTGTCCCCCTCCACCAACCCACACTGACCATCATGGTGAAGTATGGTCAAACGACCTCCGTACCACATGGCTAGGGAACGCCTTCGGTCAGCAGTGTATTGACAAAGAGTTATTAAAAAAGGGCTGATTGTGAAACTACCCACTTTGCAAAGGTTGAACGCATAATTCACTTTCATTGGCGGTGTAAAGAGACTGGGTACTACGAAGGTTTAGCGGTCACAGGTGGGTGGGTGGTACTGAGACGCGTGAGACGACCCCCCCTGTGGGCGATGTGAAGTGTGCGGGTCCCGTCGCGTGGCACTGAACTCTGCTTGAATAACGACACAACATTGTGATATCAAATAATAATAATATAAAATAACAAAACGCATTATGTCATATGTGTTGCTTTTCAATCGTTACACGATGTAATTGAATGATAAATTGCGTACTGTAAACGGAGCAGTAACCGAATAAATATTATACATTGATGTTCTGTGGGTCACGGCCTGGTGACGTTACGACACGCAGAGTGAGTGTGTGTGCGCGCGTGTGTGGCCGTGTTTACTGTTGGCTGCTTTGGCTGGGTCACGGAGCCCGCATTCCCGGCCACCGCATGTCTAAGCAGTTGCCGTTTGGGCGGATAGAGGGGGCTACACGGGCGCGGCACGAACTGCGGAAGAGATGGAGCTGATGCGGTACGAGATGATGTGGAGCTGAGCGGACGTGCCGATGACCGGTACTAGCGGTGTCAAGATCGGCCTCTGTGGAGAATGAGGTTCGTGAAGGACGCTACTGGGCAGTTGGACGCAGTCGCCCTCCAGCAACAACGGCGGGTGGAGGAGCGACGCTCACAACAACGAGCGGAGCGCCGGGCGGATAAAACGCAGCGATGTGGCACAGTGGGGGACACAGGTAGTGCATCTGCCAGTCATCTCGGTCAATAAACCCATGGCACCTGGGTCTGTCTCGTGACCTGCCAGCGATCCTTCCACAACTTCACGTGGCCTCAAAAGGCACTTAGCCTGGCACAAGCACTGTGGTGACGCCACCACCATTTAGTGACGAATGGCAGGACGTGTGTCTGATGTGGCCGGACGTGTACCCCGCCGGTCTTCGTAGGTGCTCGCTAACAGCACTTGCCCCAACAGTATGTTGAGGCTATACGGGGGATCTTTGTGTGTGTGTCACGTGTCCTGCTGGATGCGTTGACACAGAATGACAGCCACTGCCGTGTGCCTGCAGCGCCGCCGGGTGGACATTTCACTCATCCACAGCCACGCTCGCTCCACGCATTCACAGGCGCTGCACCTCGTCTCATGGCATCCGATGCCTATTTGAGCATGGGACCGCGTGCGTAGCGTTATCCGTCCGCCGCCGGGTGAAAGCCTCCCCACAACGTCGTCCTGCGATGCCACAGTCCATCTCACTCCTGCACTTGGGCTGGGACCTCATGTTTTCAGCTGCCATCCTGTCACCAGCCTCGTCCATCGGCAGTCGTCCCTCCTGGCCACGACTGACCCTGACTACACTGCAGCGGCATTCGATACCGCCCAAAATCGACAATGCTCTCGCGCGTTGCGGTCCGGGGCGGTTCGCTGAAGGTGAATTCTGCTGCAGGGGTTCATCCCCGTGAGCAAATTCCTTCATTTAATTGAGTCGTGTCGCTCAGTCGGGACCCGTTATTGTTCAGTCAAGCGAGAACTCGCTCAGATTAAAACTCTCCGCTGCAAAGGGGACGGGGGGGGGGGGGTCCAAGACTCTGACACGGGATTCGCGACATTGGCACCACACTGCGAGAAATGTGAGAGCGACGTTTGAAGAGCAAAGCGTTAAAATCAAATTAAACGAATAAACACGGGTTAATTTTTTACACGTATAAATTGACTTTAGAAAAATCAAAAGATTAATTTTACCAATTACAAAATTTATGGTATGAAACTGGGCGATGCTGAGTTGACAGGAAGGCCGGGGTTGGGTGATTACCTCCAGAGCACGTCACTGATGGGGCACGAGCCAGTGGCTCGGAACACGAATCATCGTGCGCGTGATCGTCTGGTAAATGATACTCTCATTAGCATGGAAACAATACCGCCCATTGTGCAGTTGGACAATTTAAGTTCTCGCTCCGCTATAATTACGTCAGCACAACTGGTTGCGTGGTTAATTACAGCATGCTTTGGAAAGGTGTGTGTGTGTGTGTTTTGATTTGTCTCCACATTCCTGTTAACGAAGCCCCCATCAATGAGGAAGGCGTGAACTGCAAGATGCCACTAATTGATGACGCAGGTGCGCTCAGTGTGGCGAGGTAATGAGACATACCCACGTGACCCGCACGCACTCCGCACCCACGTGACTCAGAATGTATCCCGCGTGTGGCTGCGCTCTCAAGCAAACGAACACGAGGCGGTGCCGCGAGACGTCGAGGTGGAGAACATCAACGTGAACAGCAGGCCCGCCATTGGGGGGCAGGGTGGCAGGGGGTGGCAGTACAGATGTTTGTTACGTGGGGTGGGGGAGCGGTGGGGGAGCGGTGGTGTAGCGGGTAGCGCTACGCTGCGCTACGAACCCGGCGTCCCGAGTTCGATTCCCGCTCACGGCCAACAGCAGTGACGATTATCTGAACCGGTCCGGGGCCCTAGGTCGACTCGGCCTCAAATGAGTACCTGGTGCGGTGTGTAAACATCGCCACTGGGGAGACAAAGGCGGTCGAGTGTGGTGCTGGCCACTCACCCCCTCGTCTACCGTTCCGGCCTTCATAGGTGCTCGCTTAGAGCACTTGCCCCTACAGTCTGTTCAGGCTACACGGGGGATCTTTGTCTTCGGGATGGACTAAACAGTGATACGCACCGCATCGGAGCGTGAACTTGGGTTGCATGGGGGTCAAAGCGACATTTGGTGATGCAGGGCCTCACCCGTGGACCCTACCCCAGGACCCCCCCACGCCAACCCCTTGCGCCGGTCCCGACGAGGCGAGGCGTGGGCGAGACGAGGAGGCGTCCCGACCGCGCGGTGCGAGTGGCGCTGCGCTCGCCCCAAGCCGGGCAGAGGAGCGCCCCTTGCCCCGTCTCGGAACGCTCCTCTACACAACTCGCGCTCTCAAGATTGTTCTCAGATGTGTCCTCCCCTCGTCGAACGACGTCCTGTATTTATTTGTGTGATGTACGGCGCTCTCTTTTGCAGAAAGGAGCTTTTCAATAAAAATGGAATTGATTAAAATAATGACACGCGTACGAGTCGCTACGACGAGAGAGAGGTGGGAAAACAATCTCGACGAAGTCACAAAGCGTCGACGCGTCTCGCCCCCCGTTCCCTCCGCAGCGCTCTCCCCTGACGCGCAGCGCGAAGCGAAGCTACGGAGCCGTCGCCGCCTTCGCGACGTGCGAGTCGCCTCTCGAGCAGAGAGACGAGCGGTGGCGCTGTCGACCACCACCACGACCAGTGCCGGATTATCCCAGTAGCAAGAGTCGCTGCTACACACGTAGTAGCTGCTACACACGTAGTAGCTGCTACACACGTAGTAGCTGCTACACACGTAGTAGCTGCTACACACGTAGTTGCTGCTACACACGTAGCAGCTACTACTACCACACGTGTAGTAGCTCCGGGGCCCCGCACTGTCAAGGGCCCCACGCTAAATGCTTTCAAGCTATCAATTCAGATTCAGTGATTCTGCACTTCCTCTATTACTATAGTACATACCGCCTTCAATTTTTTATGAACGGTTGAGTGTTTAAAGTTAGCGATTTGTAGTATTATCTGGCTGTATAGCGAATGAAAAAATACAATTACTTTACTATGCAAGTTAAACATTTGTGTTTTAATATTCATGTTTTTTGTAAAATGTAGGGCCGCTTTATAACATCATGCTACAGGCCCGGCACTGGCTTAATCCGGCACTGAACACGACCACCCTGTATCAAGTCCGGACACACTCGTCTCGATGAGAGACGCGGCGTGACGGTTGCACACACAACAGCGGCTTGTTGGCTTCTTGGAGAAATTAAAAAGCCATCAAAGAAGAGGCACGCGTCGGCAGCTCTCTCGGCTTGTAGCGACCCGCCCAGGCTGCCCCCCCCCCCCCCGGGGGCTGTCCCACGTGAAGCTTCTTCGATGGTGAGAAAGGCGACCTAGCGAGGCACCGGCGGAGTTTGACTTTCCAAGTTGAGGGGGGGGGGCAGGGGTTCGTTCTCTCCCTCACTTTAGGAATCGCGGGCGCATGTGATAACTTTTTGTTATCGAAATTGTAAACGGCTGAAAATAACTTAAGAAAGGTGTCCTATTTGGGCGGGGCTTTGCTCGCCCCCCACCACAACTCCCCCCCCCCCCCCCCCCCCCCCATGGAGCTAGGTTCAGGTAAGGTTTTATTGTGGCGCAGGTAAAACATGAAGCATTCCAGTCTCATTCTCGATAGGGACCTAGTTACAGCAGCAACAACTAACACGGCCACGTTCCCAATGGCGAGGTCGTGCAGCAACGGCATGGACTCGCCAGCACAGCACTTACAAGATCTAAACTACTTACAAGGCTTCCCGGAGAACGAACCGCATACCACACAACAGACGGAAGCGATCAATTGCACGCAGACGTGAAAGAACATCCGAGATTCCCAAGTGCTGTGAAGGATGCTACGCGTTTTGATCGCAAACAATTTCGCTACGTTCTAGCAGGGATCAAGGGGCGGCCACACGGAGGGAATTTAAACCAGCTTGGGTCCTCGCATTGCGGGCGACTTGGAGCAGCTGCGCTCCAGTGACGTCACTGCGGTGTCGCCCCCGTACTTTCTAACACGTCTCCGCAGTGGATTGATAGCAATGATTCCGAACACCGGTGTGGATGCGAAGATCTCGCTTTTTCCACTGCGCGCCTGTGCCACGCGTGCGATGGAAATAATTCTTCCTTGCAAAGCCAGCACGGGCACATACATCAGTCTAAATACAGCCATGCACATGCATAGACATGCGGGGATGTATCCGTACACACTTGTAATTGGAAAGGGGAATTGGTGAAAAGTGCCAGAGGCATGTGGTGGTGCATGAATTCCACCCGCGCGTGTTCTATTGCAAGTGGATTGCACGCGATGTTCACGATGTTTAAAGTCTCCACGAGGAGGCGACACGGGCCCATCTAAACCTACATCGTCGTTCATACTTCGTCATTGACACACCGACACGCGCTGCATCTCTCACACACACACGGTGACACTAACACATGTGCTGCATCACAACAACAGCCGCCATTCGCCACGAGGTGGTGGTGGCGTCACCACGGCACTGCCAGGCTCGGTGCACTTTTAGGCCATCTCGTGAAGTGTCGAAGGCTCGTTTCTGGCAAGGAGGTCACGGGACAGACCCAGGTGTTATGGGTTGAGTGACTGCGATGCTGCGTCTCACACACACATACACTAGCACACACACACATCACAAGTGACAGCAGGGACACACATACGCTCGGGCACCATCTGCAGCACACAATCGTGCAGCAGCAGCAGT